GTCTTAGATATGTCACCGATATGTACCATTCTGTCAACCAGATGTCGTTGTGGTAGCTCCAGTATGTATTCATCAGACGACCGCTTCTCGCAGTGATCTAGGCGTGTGTTCCAATCAAAAACATGTCTCAGATTTGTAAAGATCTGCAGCTTTGACGCCAACATGACTCCGTGCTGTTCATGATATATCTCTCTCAGTCTTACAATATATCTCAAATGTGTCTTAAACGTCTACCGATGTGTAACCTCGATTAACTTGCATTAGATGAGTCGCTAGTACCACCACTTGTCCAACCACTTGTCCTGCTACCGTCTCGAACTGTCTCGCATACACAACACGTCACACTCTTTACTTTTCTGGGCTCTGCTTCTCTGATATGTAAGCTTTTGATTCTGCAGCTCAAGTGGATCCCGTCTATGAACTACTTAAGAGTGCTAGCGGTATGCGCGGATCCAGCAAGCCTGATTCCGAGTCGACCTCCAACGAAGCGATTAGCAGCTCTTCCCTCAAAAGCCCAGATGTGCGGCTAGCTAGTCCCTCATCAGGTATACCTATGAAATTTTCGCATTTCGCTATAGTAGGTAGCTGTGTGATACTCTTGTTCATTGACTCGCTTCTGAGACTTTAGTTGTGTTTCAGTTTCACACGGACTCGCGTGGTCACTCAAACGCCTGTGTGGATCTAGGCGTAATTTATGATAGGATGAACGCGTCCAGCATCCTCATTGAATTAAGCAGCATATGTGTTATCGTGTTTCTGGGCAAACCGATGTATTTATATGGCTAAATGATACACCTAGTACACTTATATTTGTCATTGAGGTGTTGTGAACCCCGTCTACGGGTGTAAATTCCGTTGCTTCCATGCTACAAGTGAATATACAAAAGTACTAAAGGAATATAGTCTATAGAAGGGTGCACAGCCAGGTGAAACCTCGCAGCTCTTTTTCTCCAGCTCGCGCTTAAATGTGATGTGACGTGTTTAATCGGTCTCTCTTTCAATGTAATGAAATCCAATACTCCGGAAAGAATATATCAGGAAATATATATAATCAGGAAATTACATATCTCTGGAAAGAATTATAGTCCCTGCGGTTTATTTTCCGAGATACACATAGTGCTTCTAGGAATTACCACAGAACAGATTTGTGGGGGAATGAATGTGGAATTATTCCTTTGGACTATATCTATGTTGTTCAACGGCAAAAAACTCACAACTGGTTTAACGTTCTACCGCGACCCCAAAATAATGTCAAATAGCCATCCTCCGCTAAATAAACTAAAGGTTCCATGGACGTCGTTAACTTCCTGCATAGCTATTGAACGGTTTAGTCAGGGAAGCCAGTGAAGAAAGTGCCGGGTTTGCTGTGGTTTTGGCGAATCTATCGTTTTGTAGGCTACTATAACATCTCTGTTTTTTACTACCATAAAACGGAATAATAATTATCAACATGGAAAAATACGATATGAGTTTGTTGTAAATATGTAAAAATATAATATTATTGTAAACTATGCACACAGTCAGCATTTGTATGTGCAGAGAGGAGAGGAGGTGGGTGGTTGGTTTTGTTTGTGAGTGATTATACTGCTTGCATCTCCGGTTCCCTCTGTTTCTAAAACCAACATTTCTCGTTGGCGTAGTGTTGTTACTGTTTAACAGCTTTTCACCAGATCCCATCGTCGTTTGCGGTGTGCTTTCTCCCAGTGTACCAGATAATTCCAGACCTACAGTACGGAGTATATCGTTATATTGCTATGGCATACTAAAAAAAGGAAAAGGAAATTCCTTCCATTGTTCTAATGATGTCCATAGATCGTTGCATAATTATTACATTTAACTTTGTTATAATTATTACGTATTACGGATTTTCTATCACATTACTTCAACAAACTAATCATCTTTGTATGTAATACTGTAGATTTGGATTCGGCGATTTAAAAACTATACCATCGTATTTAACAAATTTACACCGTATACGGCTAACCTCTGTTTGTGTGACCCAAATACATATGCTTTTCGTTATGCTATAATATGTACTCTTCACTCGGTTCTAACAAACAGAACAACGGTAGAACAGGGATGCGATGCTGTCGGTCTGGCCCCTGGATATCGCACAGTCTATACCATGTCGTATATACATACCCAAGATGTTATGCGCCGTATATGCGATGCGCCTAGTATCTCCGTGAGAGTGAAATGTGTGTAGTTGAATATGGTGGCCTGGATGGCTATCTGATAATCATATTCCAAGCTAGCATATTTCGGATTATCAGAGACAAAAAAAAAACAACAGAATTAGTGATAATCATGTCCCCCAGCGTTTAGTGACGATAGTCCTGTCTCGGTCGCCACACGTTTCACGTCACATTCGTTACAGGTAAAAAACGTGGTCCGTGGTCCTCTACAAAACTTCCTACGAATCAGAATCTCCCCTCCCTCACCCACACCATCCAACCCTTTGGAGTCAGTCTGCTCCCCAGAGTCTCCTCCCCAGAGTGTGTTTTACTCATCTATCGGCCACTTCCGTGCCATTACCGAGTTACTTACAATGCCTGGCGGGGAATTTCAGGTCGGAGAAGGCGGCCGCGCCTCGTTAAGCAACATACGATAGCCGGGGAGTACGCACCGCAGACTGAGGGGAACTACACGCCGATCGACATGAAAACCAGCTCGAATCCGAACGTGTCTTGTAATTGCCAGCCATTTGTTTCTATCTACGTCCGTTCGTAACCCGATTCCCCGTCAAACTAACACGCATGAATTTTCACTTATAGGTGCGGATCGTGTAACAACCGCGTGACCTTGCAGGCTGTGAACACCCACTAACATAGACAGTCTTTGTTTCTTCCGTATAGGCTAGAATTCGGTATAGGCTTCCGGTATATGCTAGAAAATCATAATTATTATTGCCTAATAAAAACTAACTCATCACATTTCTCTATGATGTTTAGCACCTCTGAATTCAACTTCGTTTTATCCTTGTACTAACGTGGAAGTAACTTGAAGGTGCCGTATCCTGGAATGCATGCCCCACTTACAAATTAATTAGCCTGCCTACTACTGCATGACAGATTCACTCTGATTTCCTCTGTCTGAGCACGCCATGTTACAACAGGAAATGTCGCTATAGATACGTTCTTCGTTTTTCTTGCGTAAACACTACTCGGAATCCGTTTAACCCGTAGGTGTCACTGGAATTGGCCATGGGAACACATCATCTTAAATTGCGTTCGAGAATAATTATCGTAGAAAATATGGTAGATGTATTTTACTGCTGATAGCATAAGTCTATTTATCGTTAATCTTACCACTCCCTATCGTAGTGAATAGTTTATTGCTAGTGAACAAATCCGCATTGACCTTTCCCATATGCTCTAAGCGTACGCCATTGAAGAATCATTAAAACATCAAGAGAAAAATAATACAATGTTAATATTCTCCCGATTATATGCATACATATTTCTATATTAACATATTATATAGGCTTATATTCTCCAGGCTACGAAGATGGCAATATTTTGTAATATTTTAAAATACTGGTCACGAGTTTGAGTAGAGAACTTAACATGCAAGCTGTATATATATATGTTATAATATATATATATATATATATATATATATATATATAGGTGTATTATAGAACATTATTATACTCTATTATATATATATGTTATATATATATAAATTATTACAGGTGAATAACACTGCAGAATGCCATTGCTCACATGCAATGACTACATAGGCCTAATACTCGTGTTTATATATGGTGTTTCACATAGAAATCGGTATATATATATATATATATATATATATATATATATATATATATATATAGTACAATTGTTGTGTCACAAAAGTTGTTATATTGTCGGATCGTGTCAGGTCGTAGCATGTTTATATCGTCGCAAGGGTTGACTATAATTTAGGTACGCTGATATTAACCAGTGGCATGTACATGTTAGAAATGACACTACTACACTACTGTGTATGTGTAATCCGAAACTTGGATTCCACTCCATGCACACTGATGCTGATAGACATGCAGCGTTTTTATTCTTTATTCGAACGTTCCAAACGAAAAGACATTCCAACAGCCGCGATATAAAACACAAATGTATGCTCTTCTATAGCCGCAAGGATATACGAGATAGCAACTTTGTCATCGGCTCTTGATAACGGCAAGATAATCAAGTATTTAGTGTAGGTTTTCTCAAAGCAAACAGTTTGTGAATAAGACAACCTCGGTCGACGAAACGCGGCTATCCATACTTGACCACGCCTGTCTGTTTTCCAACGTCCGGTACGCAGATCCGGAGATTTCGGCGAATATGACCCGTTTCATCCGTCAGTAGTCTATACCATGACCCCAACGACGATCATGGCCGCCTGGGCTCTACCCAGCTTCACCATCCTTCGCTATCTAAAGATTTTTCGCAGGAGGAGGATTCGTCGTTGCAGTGCACGGAACAGTGTAAATTCCGTTTTGTGTTGCTGTGTGTGCAGTTTGCTATTATATGCCCATCTCGTCGTCGTCATCGGCGGCGACGGCGGCGCTAACAAGCTTTCTGATTGCTCGTATGCTAACATCTTGGGTTCGGTTTTGAAGGCTTGAGTATTTCTAGAGTTTCAGACTTTCTACTGATGCCTCGTTTGCTCAGGTTTTCCTGAGACACTTTGCGTTGCATGCTTGCGGTCGTTTTCTATCTACGAATTTATCACTTCTAGCCGCTTTGCTGATTTCTGCTTGTAGAATGCGAGAATGTACGCAGATTATCGTTATGAAATCTGCTGAATGTGCAATTGTTTACACATGGCGCGTTGTTGTGTGAATCGTGGCAACAGTGATTTCGAAAGTAATTGAGTGTTTGCTTACTAATACACGCTTTCGTTGCTGTTAACTCCTCCGCGGAATGCTGCGCATTAAACGGATGTTAGCTGCAAAGGGTAATCAAATACCGAATGTACTATTTAAATTTTAAATCGTGATAACATTAAAGATGAATTCTTTCTTTAGACTCGTACTAACCCTAGTGGCTCAGCGTTGGTTGTCGTACGGACATCGCGCATGCGTCGTGGCGAACGGGCAGCGTTTGAATCGAGCCACGTATACATACATATCCATTAAAGCATTGCTTTACTTTGTTACCATTTTCCGTCTAGCCCGCACAGCCCAACAAGAGGTCGTCGCCAAAAATTAAACATACGCATGAAAAGCTTCTCTCTCGACAAACCTAATAGCAAGGATCACTTGCGACAGCGTCATCGGTGGGGGTCGTCCCTCGTGAGCTACTGTAAATATCAGCAAGAGTTAATAATACCTAGGTATTATTAGCTCTTGATATCAGCCTGTGTACAAGCACAGTCGTCGTGTGTCACGTATCCTGTGTTTTCCGCTGTGTGTATGCATGAATGGTGGTCGATGTAGCGCTTATACGTGTATCTATCTCTCTGTATTTGTCTATTTAAATGACCCGACAACGACCGCATATACACGCACCCGTACAAGCGTACGTACAGGGGAACGCTCGCACGCACGCACACATGGCTCCTACATACGCAGCAGCACGCCACGCGCACCACGTACACGCACACACGCTAGTTCTATAGGTGGTTGCAAACTGTGCATGGTCAGTGTGAATCTAGCAACATCGTTCACCAGTTCAGTTGTTGAAGGTAGAACCAATCTTGCCCATACGAAACTAATGTCTGGTGATTGCAGCAATGCGTTTCGCTGCAATTCTTTGCACTCAGTTTGCTTTAGTGTTAAATACATAACAGCGTATGTTTGAGAACGTATCGCTACAACAGCAATAACCGCATGTGAAATAGGAAAGATTTTAGGGGTTATCCACTACAATTAAACAATTACTATGGTGGTCTGTCTGAAAGCCAGTTGTAAGCGTAATCCCTCAAGTTACTATCAAGTTACCAAACATATTTTCACTATAGCATAATTTATAAACAAGCCTCAACATAAGCAACAATTGTAATACTCTATTTCTCGGGCTACTTTGAATTCGTCGATGCACGTATGAAGCTATTGCTGACACACCTAGCTCGCCCAATACTATTAATTATTTACATCTATTCACAGGCAGTAGTAGTAAACAGCACTCGTGCATACTCGCAGTGCAATACTAGCGGACGGGAATCTATCTCGTACTCTGTACGTGTTTTGTGTGCTGTCTCACTCACTCACTCACTCACTTACTCACTTACTCACTCACTCACTGCTTCTCTTCGTGGATCTATCCGTCGGTGATATATGTATAGATTTCTCACGTTGTGTGCGTACGTGGTGATCGTGGTGTTGCGCTTACTATACTTGCTTGGTGTTAAGGTGTACCGTGCACCGTTCTTGACCGTGTTTCAGTCTGTGATAGTTACCATGTACTAAAGCTAAACACCTGTAATAATGTCCAAGTATTCGTATGGCTACATTCTTATTTATCCAGCAAACACTTCCCAGTTTACCTAGCTCCGATAAGTTCACGTATGAAAATGACTTATTAAGATTTAAACACGTGATTCGAAAATCTAAACATATTCCGCTGCAATAGTGAAATCAACTCAAGTCAAAGTATAAACAGCGCATGTTGTCTTGTAGCCCCGACAGTCCCACCACGGTCAGCACAGCCGAGGAAGGTTGCAGCGTGCCAAAGGAGACTCATTAGATATCCCTGACGATACTGAAAAGTCGCTCAGTTCAGCATCGTCTGCTTCACCGCTAGGAGGCTCACCAGTGAGTCGCGGCTGAGCTCGAATACGTGTTTGTTTGTGGGTCCCTTATCTTCGCCATATAGACGTAAATGACGTAGTCGTTCAGTATTATGTAAATAATATGCGCGTCTGTCAAATTGTTCGCGTTCAAACACATCGATGACAGTCGAATCTTTTCCTGTGTTCTTCGTTGCGAATTATGCAGAATTTGTAAACATGGCCACCGCAACATTGCCACAACGCCCTGAAACTATAAACTGTCTATCAATTGTAGCTTGCGGCCACAATGCGTATGTCAGTCGATCGTCTGATCAGCTGACTTGTTTTCAGAAGTCTTACCAGAGGCAGGCTGCTCAAAGTCTATATGTGACGATCAGGGACTTCAAAGGCGAGGGCCGGCGTGACGAGATAGAATTCAGGTGATGAAAAACTGTTCTTGCACAAGAACACACACAAACACACACACCGCGCGCGCGCTGCATTGCATACACGGTGCTATCTCGTCTATTACATTATTTACATACGTTCACAAGTAATTGCAAGAATTCGATCCGTTATCAATGCGGCCCGCTTAATTATGATACAAGATGGCCGAAGGCTCGTGGAACTACTGCAAACAATGAAAACAAAGCGCAGCAATCTGTTCTTTACGAACAAAATAGCAAAAGCGATGACCGCAATAAATTATTTAATTATATAAAATTATTTTAATTGCAACCGTTATTTCTTATCTTACAGAAGTGGCAGTAAGGTGGTGGTGATGGACATGTCGGATGCAGAGTGGTGGCGGGGTCGGTGCAATGGTCAGCAGGGATACTTCCGGCTGGTTGCGGCTGTCGCATCTTTCCAGCGCGAGCGTGTGATGAAGGTTACTAAAAGCATACAGCTAAGCGACGGTGAATCGACTTAAGGCTGAGTCGTGAGCAGGTGCGTAATCACACACACGCGCACGCACGCACGCACCCACGC